AGTATCATCCAGTGGTGTTTGATTGGGTCACCTTTATGGAAACATTTATGTGAGTCCTGACTAAAAAAACAATGAAAATGCAAAGCTAACAAAAAATTGAAATTTAAATCATAAGGAAAACCCCAATCACACATTCATTCATCCAAGCACACAGAGGAAGAATAGTTCCTTATTCTTCAGACAGATGCTTAACTTTTCTTTTGTATTTTGGTATTCAGCAGCTCATATCTGAATAGTGACACAAAGTATTTGTGAAAGGTCAGAATTTAACTCTATCAGAGCAAAGTCTTTTCCTCCTAAAAATGATGGTTTAGGAGTTCCTTTTTCATCAATACAGGTCTATATCTCATAATCTGAAGGTCAAGAGATTCAGAATTTGATCTGTTTTTTTCCTTATATAGAGAAGTTCACTGACTTTGCTAACAAAGGACTTTAGCCCAACACCCACAAAAACGTTTTGTGCAAAGAGCATTCATGTTTAGGAACATCCCTATTCAGGAACACACTTAGACGTATATCTTCTATTAACTTCAATGGGACTTAAACATGTTTCATGCCATGTCTACACTACCACTTACGTTGGCAAAACTTATGTTGCTGAGGGCTGTGAAACCCCTCCACCCCCAAGTGACATAAGTTTTGCCAGCATAAGCGCTTGTGTGCAAAGTGCTATGTTGGTGGAAGAGCTTCTCCTGCTGACACAGCTACCATCGCTCGTCAGCATAGAGTGGCTACATGAGCGATCTTACAGCGCTGCAGCAGGATTGGTACAGCTGTGCCGCTGTATGTTCGCTAGTGTCAACGTGGCTTAAGTGCCTTCCTATGTGGGAATGGACTTAAGCATGTACTGAAATGCTCTGCAGAGTTGAGATCCTAGAGCTGATGGTCACACAGGGGCTGTGGCAGTGGCTGGCCCAGAGAATCAAGGAGCTGTAACTGGCCTGAAGCCCTCTCCTACCACTGACTTCTGGCAAAGAACCTAGTCCCATGGCTACATTTTTCTCCTCAAATGCATCATGCGACAATAACCTCAACTACCTTGACAAATATTTGATCTAATCAAAGTAACAGAGCAGAATTAAATAACCCTTGTTTAAATCATCCATGTTTGTAGGTAGATTTAGAGAACAGGATGGCCCTAATGCTGCAAAGACTTACACATGACTTTAGTGTTATCTATTTTAAGGACAGAAGGGCCTGTTGAGATAATCTAGTCTGACCTCCTGCATAACAAAGGCCAGAATATTTCCTGCAGTAGTTTCTGATTTCTGTTTGTGCTATAGCAGCGGTTCTCAATCTGTGGGTCAGTACCCCAAAGTGGGTCACAACCCTATTTTAATGGGGTCACCGGGGCTGGTGTTAGACTTGCTGGGGGTGGGTGGCACGGCTCAGGCTTCGGCCTTGGCTCTGGGTGGCGGGGATCAGGTTACAGGTCCCCAACCCGGGGCTGAAGCCCTGGGCTTTGGTTTTGGCCCTCCCACCTGGGACGGTGGGGCTTGGACAGGCTCAGGCTTCGGTCCTCAAAGTAAATTTTATTGTCAGAAGGGGGTTGCGGTGCAATGAAGTTTGAGAACCCCTGTGGCTCTAGCATGTTTTTTTAGAAAAGCATCCAATTTTGATGTACAGCCTTAAAGTGACGGAGAATCTACCATGACCCTAGGCAAACTGTTGCAACGGTGAATTCCCCTAACTGTCAAAAATACAGAATTGTCTAACTTCAGCATTAATCCACTGGATCGTGTTATGCCCTTGTTCGCAGAGTAAAGAACAAACCTTCTCTCAAGGTAGGTACTTACAGACTGATCAAGTCGCCACTTAGCCTTCTCTTGGATAAAGCTAAAAAGATTGAACTTCTTAAGTCTTTCACTATACGGCAGTTTTTCCAGACCTCTAATTATTCCTGTAGCTTTTTTTCCAAACCCTTTACAATTTTTCAACATTTCTTTGGAAGTATGGACATCAGGGCATATTCCAGTAATGGAGTTCACTAACCCCATAAAAGAGTGGAGCAGAAGCTCGGTTAAAGGTCTGAGCATCTCTTACTGTTGAAGAGACACCTAACCTAAATCCTCTCCAATCTACACGCTTAATTGGATTTTCTTGAAATTTGTGGTGCCTCATGGAGATGGAGGATAGAGATAGTGGTCCAAATTTGGAACCATTTGAGCAAGGAGTTTCCCCCTAAAATCATGTGTTTACAAAATCTCTTGTTTTTTCTAATGATTTTTGTGCACACCTGGGACTAACTATGTCTTTAATCTTCCCCAGGTTGATCTCAGACATTAGGGATTTAACTCAGCAACTGTACAGCAGCCATTGTCCCTTAGGGATGTAATATTTCCCCAGCTATTCAGGATAAAAGTTTAGAACTCCAGCTTACTTTGAGTCTAACGGATGAGCCATGAGGGTATGTCTACACTGCAATTAGACACTTGTGGCTGGCATGGGCCCGCTATGGATTTCTATTTGCAGTGTAGACATACCCTGAATGTGCAGCAATATTAGGGCTCTGTTCAAGCTACAGGGTTTGCAAGCAGGCTGTTGGTACAGTAATGGGGTGGCTCTTACTGTGGCCATTGAACCCGATCAATACCCAAGTCTGAGCCCATGGCAGCTTTCACAGAATGAGTGTTTGTGCACATTAGCTGTTCTCTGCCTGCATTCTGCAAGCGTTCCTCTTGAAATGTTTGCCCCGGTTTAAGAGCTGGTATTTTAAAGTACTCTAAAATCCACATGCAGACTCTGATTTTAGAAGCCCTGTCACAGAAATTAGCATTAATTTTAAATGGGGAAGATGAAAGACTCTAGTAAGTAACGTAATGTAATCATGGCAATGTGGTCATGATTCAGGCTCCGCATCCATTTCCTGAACAATGGGACTGAGCACAATCAAAGAAAAACAAATTGCTGGGTCATTCAGCCAACTGATACACAGCCCCTCTACCAGGAGCTACCAGGAACAGTTAACATAAGAACATAAGAATGGCTGTACTGGGTCAGACCAAAGGTCCATCCAGCCCAGTATCCTGTCTACAGACAGTGGCCAATGCCAGGTGCCCTGGAGTGAGTGAACCTAACAGGTAATGATCAAGTGATCTCTCTCCTGCCATCCATCTCCACCCTCTGACAAACAGAGGCTAGGGACACGTGGGTTTCCAAAAGCGTAGCTCTTCTATGATCACTTGCTGAATAAGGGATCCTTCTCAAAGGGATCTTTGCTCTCTGGGGGCTCAGAATCACTGAGAGCAGAGCCAGATGGTGTGTGTGGAGGGAACTGGGCACCTTTCCTTCCAGTGTTATACTTGGAGGGGAAGTGAAGCCATCTATGTCCTTTCCCACTCCCCTGCAAGAACCACCACTGCCCAACAATTCCTCCCATGGCTGCTCCAACAGGCCAAGGCAGGAGGCTCAGGAGATCCCCTTCCCTGCACTGAGCCCTGTTTGGGGGAAGGAACCCAGAACTCTCCTTCTTCCCCAGGCTGCCTCCAGCAGTGGGCTCCAGGCTCACCCTTCTCTTCAGTGCTGCTGCTCCTATGGAAGAAGAGGTCAAAGCAGTGCATGAGAGTGGGGGGGAGAGGGGAGGGAATGAGGGTGTCATAACTGTGCAGTGGAGGAAGTAGGAGGGCTTCAGCTGCGACAAACCATACCCACTATTTCTATCCCCCACTTCAAAATGTGCCCCCAGATGACTCCGTCTAAGTTTCTGCGTTGTCTGCCCAGTTCCGCAACCCATGGGATCCCTGTCAATGCCCACCCTTCTGTGGGAAGGAGAGTTGGTAATGGAGGACTGCCCTCAGAAGGGCAAAGGGGAAGGGTGGTAACGCTTAGTAGGTCTGGGACAGTTTGTGTGGTGTAAACTCAACGCCTGAGTGTTGGCAGCATCTGTTCACTACAATTGACCTAAACCTTAGCAAAGCGAAGGTGTTAGACTGTCTCCTACAAGGCTCTTGTATTCTGTTCCCTGAGTGTTCAGTAACATCTGCAAGGGGAAAGGGCTAATCTGTGTGTCATTGACATGTTTGGGCATCACGCAAACAGGGCAGAGTTAAGTGTGCTTTGTGGGGATGGCTGGTAACTTAACTCTCCATTTTATGGTCTTCAGAAGTTCGAGTGTAGCTGAACTCAATGTTCTGGAAGGGCACAAGGACAACTGGCAACCTTCATGGCACATTAACAAAGTTTTGAGGCAGTTAGTATAGAGGTAATACCACCTTCCTACTTCTGGGTGAGATTCCTCTGCTCACACATCTAGCAAGTAAATTAGCCATCTTAGCAACATCCCACTGGGGGCTCATGTTCAACTGGTTATCCACCAAGTCCTTTTCAGAGTCACACCTTTTCAGGATACAGTTCCTCCATCCAGTAAGTGTGACCTACATTCTTTGTCCTTAAATATATGATCTTACATTTGACTGTATTAAAAGACACGTTGTTCAAATTAGTCCAGTTTACCAAGAGATCCAGATTGGTCCATGCAACTGATCTTCCTTATTATTTATCACTCTACCAAATTTTGTGTCATCAGCAGATTTAAGCAGTAATGCTTTTATATTTTCTTCTACATCGTTGATAAAGATATTGATTACATTGGGGCCTCACTAGAAACACACCTATTATATTAGAATTAAGAAAGAGAATTAAAGCAGAAACCATCTTCAATTTTTTAAAATAAATGAACAGTTGAGATCAGCAAATTCCCAGAAGTGCATTAGACCCAATTTGTGGGGAAATTTGGAAATGGACAAAACCAAGGTGGTTATGCAGAGCTGAATGCAAAAGTTAGCATGCACCCACACTTAATTTTCTTTTGAATCCCCCAATTCATGGTGAGATTTGGATATAAAGTTCCAGCATTCAGGGTACTTCCAGGAACCTCCCTCCCCCTTAATATATATGGAAAGAAGCTTGAAGACTTCCTATTTAAGGTTTAACTTTAGCCAGCAGATCTGCCTTTGTAGCTTACCCAGAATTCCTAACAAATACCAGGATATTTTCCTTACCACAGAATAAAGCGCACAATTAGAACTTTGTTTCTGAACTGAGACACAAATACTCAGATTGGATTTCTTCAGCATCTTCTGATGGTGGCATCCATGGCAAGTGATGCGGTGGACCATTTTCACCTGGTATAGCTAGTAAAAGAATGACAAGTTATAAGTGTTTCTGCCCATCTAGAGAGATTCAGTCCTAAAGGTAATGCACAGAAATGCCTTTTATCTGGGTGGTGGTGGTGTTTCAATCTTCATCTTCCCAGAAAACCTCCCCAGTAACAATCAAAGGGGTTTCTGACTTATATTGCCTTTTGAGAGCAGAGCCAGCCCTATCTGCTAGAAATAAGGACCACACCACACGTCTAAGAGCACAGGGATTTCCCAGTCTGTCTTACACTGGAAGCTTGAAACCCACAAGGGAGTCTCCTGGGGAGATGGGATCTTTACACAAATGATCATTGCTTTCTTCTGCTCTAAAACAGTGGTTCCCAAACTGTTAGAGGGGGTTCTTGAGAAAAAATTCCCTAATGGTGGACAGAGCTGTCCATAGGGATCCCAGACAGCATGGGGCCAGCAGCCAGGAGCCTTGGGGACTTCTAAGAGCTAAGCAGATCAAAGCAAGCATATCTATCACACTGAGGAGATTTAAACTTCAAGACTCCTTATATGAAATAGAAAGAGGTGTATGTTTTTTGCTGCTTTTAAAATTAAATAGGCAGCTAGTATTGTTTTAAAAATTATTATGAACAAGTTTAAACTTTGTAGTAACGTGCATTGTTTGCCTGGACTGCTCAAGATCTTACTGCTTGTGTAGGAGAAATTCTTTGAGTTGGCTTCTTAAATATCTTTATGCTGTTTCACATCTGATACTCCTTGATGAAACATAGGAGCCTTGTCTTATAACAGATTATTCAAAGGGATACAAGCTATGAAAGTGAGATCTTGGAAGAGTGTTGCTGTTTTCATAATGTAATAAAAATACTGTAATGATAAATAATAATTAATAATAAATAGTGTGAAATAAGCATGTCATAAAAACAAATTTTATATTTCCAAGATCACTGCTTTTATAATTTATACTCAGGTAAAGGAGAAAATCCCTGGAAATATTCATTTTTAGGAGGAGGTTCACGAGACTTGACATTTTAGTGAAAGGGGTTCACAGGTTGTTAAAGTTTGGGAACCACTGCTCTAAAATAAAGTCTCACATTTACACTTGCAGAGAAGATGAGTTACCTGCTGAATATCTTCTTTGTCCTCAATGATTTTATTCATCAGAAGCTGGAAACATTCCTTCACATTTAGCTGCTGGCGCACTGTACACACACAAATCAGAATGATCAACGCGTAACTGTGGTGGCTGGTTCCTCTGTTCTGTGGTGGCTGAGAAGAGCTGCTAGCCCTTGGGGCAGTGTCTTCTGCCCATTTCCATTTCTCCTGGGCTATTTTGGAGGAGCCTCTTTGTTAAGATGGCAGAACTCGCATGCACAGTCAGAAAACGGGGCTGGATGGAACCCTGTAAAACTGTCTGGCAGCTGCCACACAGTTACCACCTTTGTAAAACATGACACACTGAGACCTTTCAGTACCATTTAAAACATCCAGAGGAGGGTTCCCCAGCCTGCTGCCTATTCCACTTTGCTAATCCCTGGGTCAGTCCCTCCCAGAGCACACTTGGTGCCTCTGAGTAGAAATGCAGGCTGGATATCAAGATTCTCAAAGGCCAAGGTCTGTGGGGTGTATTCACTATGTAGAAGGGGGAAGTAAAGGAGAAGGAGGGGGACTTTGGGAGCCTTTTTATTTGCCTGAGAAAACTTTCTGGATTCGCAGAGAGGCAGGGGAGCTAACAGGGGAACAAACAAGAACATGCTGGGGGCTCACAGCAATTAAGGGGAGTAGCATGACAGTCTGTTGGGGACTGGGGAAACAGTAGTGACAGGGGCCAGGAGGCAGAGAAAGAGGAGATGATGGAACTTCAGGAGATTTCAAATGAACATCCAGACTTCTGGGGTTTGTCCAAATTGAACCACTGGCCCTTTTGATGTTCACTACGAGTAATAAGGAGACACTTCAGCAACAATACTTGTCCCACAGGAACAGAGGATGGGAAAGGACCTCTTGGGTCACTGAGCCCAGTCCCCTGCTATCACAGACAACTGCATCATATCATCCTGCTCACAAACTTCTCATGCTCCATTCATATCCCTTCTCAGCTTTCCTTTTGCTAGGCTAAACAAGCCATGTTCTTTTAGTTTCAAGGGAGGTTCTCCATTCCCTGATCATCTTTGTAGCCTTCTCTGTACCTATTCCAGTTTGAATTAATCTTTCCTGAACATGGGTGAAAACTAGGGCTGTCAATTAATCACAGTTAACTCACGCGATTCAACTCAAAACAATTAATCATGATTTAAAAAATTAACTGCAATTAATCATAGTTTTAATCACACTGTTAAACAATAATAAAATACCAATTGAAATGTATTAAATATTTTGGATGTTTTTCTACATTTTCAAATATATTGATTTCAATTGCAACACAGAATACAAAGTGTACAGTGCTCACTTTATATTATTTTTATTAAATATTTGCACTGTAAAAATGATGAAACAAATGAAATAGTATTTTTCAATTCACTTCATACAAGTACTGTTGTGCAATCTCTTTATCATGAAAGTGCAACTTACAAATTTAGACTCTTTTTGTTACATAACTGCATTCAAAACCAAAACAATGTAAAACTTTAGAACCTATGAGTCCACTCAGTCCTACTTCTTGTTCAGCCATCGCTCAGACAAACAAGTTTGTTTACATTTACAGGAGATAATGCTGCCCACTTCTTATTTACAATGTCACCTGAAAATGAGAACAGGCATTCACAAGGCACTTCTGTAGCCAGCATTTTAAGGTATTTATTTGCCAGATATGCTAAACATTCATATGCCCCTTCATGCTTCAGCTACCATTCTAGAGGACATGCTTCCATGCTGATGATGCTCATTAGAAAAATAATTTGTTAATTAAATTTGTGACTGAACTCCTTGGGGGAGAATGGTATGTCTCCTGCTCTGTGTTTTATCCTTATTCAGCCATATATTTCATGTTATAGCAGTCTTGGATGATGACCCAACACACTTTGATCATTTTAAGAACACTTTCACTGCAGATTTGACAAAACGCAAAGAAGATACCAATCTGAGATTTCTAAAGTTAGCTCCAGCACTCGACCCAAGATTTAAGAATCTGAAGTACTTTCCAAAATCTGAGCGGGACAAGGTGTGGAGCATGCTTTCAGAAGTCTTAAAAGAGCAACACCCCAATGAAGAAAATACAGAACCTGAACCACCACCAAAAAAAAAAAAAATCAGTTTTCTGCTGGTGGCATCTAACTCGGATAATGAAAATGATCATACATTGGTGCACACTGCTTTGGATTGTTATCGAGCAGAAGCAGTCACCAGCATGGATGCATGTCCTCTGGAATGGTGGTCGAAGCATGAACAGACATATGAATCTTTAGCGTATCTGGCAGGTAAATATCTTGTGACACCAACTACAACAATGCCATGAGAATGTCTGTTCTCACTTTCAGGTGACATTGTAAACAAGCAGTGGGCAGCATTATCTCCCACAAATGTGAACAAACTGGTTTGTCTGAGCAATTGGCTGAACAAAAAGTAGGACTGACTGGACTTATGGGCTCTACAGTTTTAAATTGTCTTATTTTTGAGTGCATTTTTTGTACATAAATTCTACATTTGAAAGTTCAACTTTCATGAGAAAGAGATTGCACTACAGTACTTGTATTAAGTTAATTGAAATACTATTTTTTTACAGTGCAAATATTTGTAATAAAAATAAATATGAAGTGAGCACTGTACACTTTGTATTCTGTGTTGTAACTGAAATCAATATATTTGAAAATGTGGAAAACATGCAAAAATATTTAAATAAATGGTGTTCTATTATTGGCATTATTAACAGCGTGGCAAATGGTATTATTAACAGCATGATTAATTGCGCAATTAATTTTTTTAATCACTTGACAGCCCTAGCGAAAACTGTACACAATACTGTACACAGATCAGGTTTGACCAGTGCCTTGTACAATGGCATTAATAGTTCTCTCTCTCTCTCTACTAGAAATACCTCGTCTGATACATTTTAGGATTACATCTTAGGTCACCCTGTGAAGAACTGTTTTACCAGAATCTGTGAATGCAAGAACCACATAGCATAGGTCTCTACAGAGCCCTCTTACCATTGCCCATCTCGAGGGCTCTTGTAATCTCAGTGGTAGGTGATGAATCACCAGTCATCAGCTTTTTAAACAGCTGTTGCAGATGGCACGCAATGACGGAGTCACCAACATTATCGCACCTACAAAACACCAGAGAGACACATAATGAATACATCACTTCACAGGTAGAATCCAGGTGCTGATGCAAAGGGAAGTGCAGCAGTGCCTGCAGGAGAAAGTGTGATCTCACCAGGTCTGGGTTGGATTCTCCTGGTGGAACTGTGAGAGGAATCCCAGAAATGAAAGAACAGTGAAATCACCTCTAGGAAGATCTCTCTGGCTCAGAGTTACAATGTGTTAGCTCAGGGGTTCCCAAACAGGGGGCTGCAGCCCAAAGATGGGCAACGACACAGTTCAAGGTGGTCCGCCATGGGTGGAGTTGCCCTCCCAAACTGCATATGTTGGCGGAGTGGTGGCCAACGATGGCCCCCACCCAGGGCTGGAGGAATCTAGCAGTGGGTGGAGGGCGATGACGAGAAGGGGCCAGCCCTGAGAGTTGGTGGCTTCCAGGGTGGTTGGAGAAGACTGGAGAGTTTGCAGCCGTTCCCGCTCCGAGCTGCTGCACCTTGTGATCTGTGGCTGTTGGACCCCTGAAGTATCTGCCCCAGGACCCAGCCAGGGACCTGGGCTCAGCGGTGCCGCTCTGTTTCCATCTGGACAATGCTGGGATTGGGACTGTCACAGGTAACGGCCAGGCTCGGCCTGAGTGCCTACCTCTGCCTGGCACTGGCAGCCCCTGATCCCTTCCCTTGTTCCTGGGCAGGGGTGCCCATGAGGTGCGCCGGGCACCGGGTGGATGACCGGGACAGGGCTGCCAGGTGACCAGCTCAAAACTGCTGAAGCGGAGGGTGTCGGCAGGGCCTGGCCATGCATGCCCCAGCCCGCAGTGTTCCCTCCCTGACAGAAGCGTGCTAATAGTAGGCGGCAGTGTCGACTGCAGCTGCATGGGTGGGCTACAGGGAAAAAAGTTTGGGACCCCCTGCATTAGGGGCTTGTCTACACTACCGCAGGGGATCGATCTAAGTTACACAACTTCAGCTACGTGAACAGTGTAGCTAAAGTCGATGTACTTAGATCTACTTACCGCAGTGAAGACACCGCGGTAAGTCCACAGCTGACGCTCTCCCATCGACTCTGCCTGCGCTCCTTGCTCTGATGGAGTATCGGAGTCGACGGGAGCACACTTGGTGGTCGATTTGTTGCATCTAGACTAGATGCAATAAATCGACCCCCACTGGATTGATCATTGCCCGTTGATCCGGCAGGTATAACCAGGTTCATCTCAGAAAGGTATAACCAGGTTCATCTCCTCTGGCCCTTTTCAGTGCCCAGCTATTCCTAGGCTTTACCAGGGCAGGTTCTCTGGAACTGGATTGCTGATCCAGCATCCCACGGCCAGCCACACAACAGTCCTTACCCCACCCTCTACTAGTCACTTGCAGACATGAAGGCAGGTAACTGCTGCCTCATTTCCTTTTCCCTTCCCCTGTAGCCTGCTACCACTTCCAGTTCCTTTCTCTTCCCCTCCCCGCCACTGCAGGTTTCCTTCCCTCTCCCACCACACCTGGCACAGTGCTGCCCTTTCAGTCTTGTCTCAATGGGTCAGTCTTACAGTGGGTCCCACAGCACCAGAACCATGGAGCTATCCAGAATAACCACACGTTGCTGATGTAACCCCAGGGTTTATTGTGAACACCCCTCACCTGAGGATGGCCTCTCTGAGCTCTCGCGTGAAGAAGAGACAATGCAGCAGGCTGTTTAAATAGCAGGTGCAGCTTTGGTTACGCAGCCCCACATACATCCCTGTAAACAGAATCTATGTCAAATCCAGTGATATTTATGTATAATTTTTTAAGTAGAACAAATGATCACAAATATTTTAACAGGTAAACTCTGGTTGAAGTGCTGAAATATGGTAGAGCTGTTCATCGAAGTTAATATTTGGTCTGTGTGAGCTGTAGGAAAGGTGCAGGACAGCCTTTGCAAACGCTCTTTCCTTCCTCCCAGAATTGTATTGCTTGGAAAATAGGTCTCTATTCAGCCCCAGCCTCACCCCATCCAGTGCCTTTCTTATCTGCTTAGGTGCTTTTGTGGGCTGGTTTGAGGTTTTCTAACACAACCCATGATGTTCCCAGGCTCCACATTTATGGCTTCAGGAGGAATTGTTGTTTGCTCCCAGAAAAAAAATCAAAGCTTCTATTTTCTTTCTGAGCCCCAGTAAGACACAAAAAACAGTTCCACAAAGACTGAGGCATAATTCCCTTAATAACCTCTCTATCCTAGATTGTGTATTCAGGACACCCAAGAATATCTGAGTAAATGCCTGACAAACTTTCATTCACTAAACTCTGACACTAACCCAGGTAGTTGCATCAATACTCCAATTGTTATTTTGCTGACACAGTGTATTGGGCACGGGGACTCACACTCATGCTTGGTGCCCCAGAAAGTTCCTGTGTTTTGTCCAAAAACAGCCACTCAACAGCGATAAATCAATCAACAAAGCCAACAAATAAATAACTGGGGAGACAAACTGAAATGCCCCCGCACTAACAACAGCCCCCTCCCCCAGCAATAAGGCACAAACAGAACAACAGATGGCTCCAGCAATGAGGTCTCAACAATAATCAAGAAAAAGCCAACCGCTACCTGGGCAGAGCAGACTCCCTGACTTAGCTCTTGGGGGCAGGGACTATTATCCTACGGGGTATTTGTACAGCTGACTGAGCGTCCGTGCCACACAAATATTCAGGAGAACAACCAATGGAGAAACCCACCCCTTCCATCACCGAACTCGATCCCCACCTGGATCCTCACTGTGGCTATGGGGTCTCTAGAGCCACCCTCCGCTTCTCCACGTGCTGAACCGGCTGCACTTTGCACACAGCACCTGAAGAAAGGGCTCCCAACAGGCTGCAGATAGGCTGGGGAATCTGGGAGGCTCAGTGAACCGTATCTGTATGGCCGTAATGTGTGGTGAAAGACCAATCTAAGACACACAGACACTTGAGCAGGATGGTGTCTGGGGGAAATGGAGGTTCCCAAAGCCCTTCCCACGGGTTCTGTTTACCCAGGAACAGAATCTTCATGGCACTGGCCTCGCCCTGGCCCTGACCCTGACCCTCCCTGGCAGCAAACTGAACCAGCTCCTCTCACTGGCTCTCCCATCAAATGGTGGGAAGCAAGCCTCCAGGAACTTCCCTTTGTCTTTGACAGCAACATGTCACTTACTTGGCTTGCGGTACATTAACAGATATGCAGTGGAACTATGACAGAAAAAAAGAGAAGTGAATATTAATACCTAATCAAATGGATGCCACATCTCTCCACACAAACACCTTTTCAGTCTAGGAGTTTACTGGCCACTTTACCTTGAAATGGTCCATTTAAATATATGTTAACTATTTAAGCTAAACAATCTGTTCCACCTTGTATTTAGCTGTGACACTCTGAGTACATTTCCCAGACTAGAAGAAGAGCTCTGTGTAAGCTCAAAAGCTCCTCTCACTCATCATCAGAAGCTGGTCTTGGTCTCTTTGATATCCTGAGACCCACATGGCTACAACAACGCTGCATACATACTTAGATGAACCAGAGATTCTGCCTGGCCAAGAAAAGAATCATAGAATATCAGGGTTGGAAGGGACCCCAGAAGGTCATCTAGTCCAACCCCCTGCTCGAAGCAGGACCAATTCCCAGTTAAATCATCCCAGCCAGGGCTTTGTCAAGCCTGACCTTAAAAACCTCTAAGGAAGGAGATTCTACCACCTCCCTAGGTAACGCATTCCAGTGTTTCACCACCCTCTTAGTGAAAAAGTTTTTCCTAATATCCAATCTAAACCTCCCCCACTGCAACTTGAGACCATTACTCCTCGTTCTGTCATCTGCTACCATTGAGAACAGTCTAGAGCCATCCTCTTTGGAACCCCCTTTCAGGTAGTTGAAAGCAGCTATCAAATCCCCCGTCATTCTTCTCTTCTGCAGGCTAAACAATCCCAGCTCCCTCAGCCTCTCCTCATAACTCATGTGTTCCAGACCCCTAATCATTTTTGTTGCCCTTCGCTGGACTCTCTCCAATTTATCCACATCCTTCTTGAAGTGTGGGGCCCAAAACTGGACACAGTACTCCAGATGAGGCCTCACCAATGTCGAATAGAGGGGAATGATCACGTCCCTCGATCTGCTCGCTATGCCCCTACTTATACATCCCAAAATGCCATTGGCCTTCTTGGCAACAAGGGCACACTGCTGACTCATATCCAGCTTCTCGTCCACTGTCACCCCTAGGTCCTTTTCTGCAGAACTGCTGCCTAGCCATTCGGTCCCTCGTCTGTAGAACCATGACTATAGCCTGCAACCACCTACTTACCATCAGACCAAGAAAGGAACAGCTCTTCTCTGGTCTCTCTTTTTGTTTACATTTGTTTGCTGTATGCTTGAGGGGGGAACTGGACTTGACAAAACTTGCAGCTTTGTAAATAAGCTGACATTGATTGTATCATCATTAATATTCCAAAATTAATGAATAAAAGCTGGGTTGGTGTCTTTAAATTTCCCTGCACATTTAGGCTAATAAAGATTCACATCATGTGTAGATACTGACTACATAAAGCTAAGGCCAATACAGATGCCTATGGCAAAGCACAAGGCATGAGGTGCAAAGATATTATCAAAATAACCCTACAACCATGGCAGAACTGGACTTCTGCTGTATTCTCTCCTTCCTAGCCAAGGAGATTCATCCTGTTCCAAAGCTCACTACATGGTCCTGATAAGCTAGACTATATACCAGGCCTAGGATCCAACACCCCTTAGGATCTGAGAGAGCTCTCCTATCAGATCTTCACATGCTTAGGCAAGTAGAACAAGCCACTAGGTGCTGGAATCAAGGAGTGACTCTAGACTAAAGCCCTCTACCTAGGGAGCTTGGAAACTGTGCTCCAAGCTTTAAATGGTGCCCTTGCTCTAAGCAACAAATAGGTGAGAAAATGGCACAAACTGGCAGAGGCAAGGTGGGTGAAACATCACTAGAGACCACTGAGATATGTGAAGGGTTAACCCAAACCAAAAGGGGAGAGATTTTGGCTGTGCTGCAAAAACACCAGCAGGTATTTTCCAGCAAGCCAGGTTTAACTCATAAGATGGTCCATACGATTAGCGCTCTGAGGTCACAACATGTCCCTAGCAGAGCTTATTGAACCACTAGAAAAAAGAAGGGGCAAATTTGTAAAGAAATACAGAGTTGTGACACTCTATACCTCGGGGGAGCGCCCTGTAACCCCCATATTCCTCATTTGTATATGGTTGTGATATTGCATATAAAGCATGCCATGTGAGGTATCATGGGAACGGTTATGATCTGCTGAAACCTGCTGTTCCAATATGTATAACCTCAATGCATATGAAGGTATGAGAATTGTATTGTATGGTTGTCACTAAAATATGCGTTTGGGAAGTGCCCAGATACAAGCTCCCCAGAGACAATAACAAGGGAAGTAACCAGTGCCCAGGCAGGTGCTGAATGGACATCACCGGCCATTGTCCAGCAGAGGAGTTACAATTCAATGGCTCACTCACACAAGACACACCAGGGTATTGCTCCACCTTGTGACTCAGCAATGCCCACCAGACAGAGCTGGACTTGTGCTTTCCAAGACCACGGACTAAGAGTATAAAACAGAACACAGTGGCCCCACAGTTCGTCCTCTGTCTTCTCCCCGCACCTACACTGCAAGCGACGAGGACACTGGAGCTTAAGAAACCTGGTCCCCAGGCTAAGAGGGAAAACCTGCATATGAAAGACTGTAACCAACCTGCAATATCCAGTGGGGTGAGAAAAACTGCTTAATCTAGATGTTTCCTTGTTCAACAAGGCTAAGAGTTTAGACTGCATGCTTATATTTTATTTTGGTAACCGCTCTGACTTTTTGCCTATTTCTTATAGTCACTTAAAATCTACTTTTCATAATCCATAAACTTGTTTTACTGTTTATCTTGACCAGTGAATTTTCCTGAAGTGTTTGGTAAATCTGTTCAGGTTTCAAAGGCTGGTGCATGTCACTTTCCATTGATGGTGTGATGAACCAATCAATAAACTTGCATTGCTCAAGAAAGGGTCTTGAACAGTGCGAGATGGTCTATTCCTGAGGAGCAAGACTGGGATTTGGCTGGAGCCTCTCTATTGTTAGTTCATGAATGGCCAGAGAAGTAATCATGTAACTTAGTTGGGTGTGTCCCTGCCTGTGGATTTCTGTGTAAGTACAATGCCTGCCAGAGATTTGTAGCTTGTCACAGCAACACAATGTGAGAGGGAGCCCAGAATGGTGGGGCAGAGGGCTCAGCAGTACCCCAGTTCCAGGTTGCACCCCAGGGATCTCATCTAAATAGAATACTGGAATGGGTGTTCCTGAGCCTCACAAGTTATGGTTCCTAAAATAGATGGGACTATAAGATTTTAGAAGAGGGACAAGGTAGGTGAGGTAATATCGTTTATTGGACCAACTTCTGTTGGTGAAAGAGACAAGCTTTCAAGGAGAGTTCTTCAGGTCTGAAAAACTTACTTGGGGAAAGTCTACTCTACAAAATTAAGTTGACCTAAGTTATGTCAATGTACAGCACTGTAGTAAGTGAATCGGTTTTACATTTCCACACTTCGCTCCTTGGGTCAGCGGTATGTGTCCTCACGAGGAGCGACTGCACCAATTTAACTGCCAGTGTGGGAGGTTGTGGGATGGTATCTTAAAGACAGCAACAGTCGATGTAAGCAAGGCACTGTCTATACTGACACAGCATCGACCTAATTACATTGACTTAAGCGCTACGCCTCTCATGGAGGTGGAGTTATGAAGTCAGTATAGTGGGTGAGTTACAGTGGTGGGATCTACATTTAGTGTAGATACTTACAGAGTCTACTGTAACCCTGCAGCATAGACCAGACCTCAGTGTCACAGCTAAATACAAAGTGGGACAGATTATTTAGCATAATAGTTAACACATATTTCAAAGGACCTGTGACGGGGATCCCGCATGTTAAGCTGGGCCGTCCCCTTGGCCCAGTGTGGGGTTGGTACACCCCATCACCCAGTCAATGTGATTCCCTGTTAAGTGGGTAGTTGCGGCCAACTGGGTTACGGTCTCCTGACAGGGTCACACAACCGAGTAGTACGTTGCCTCTGGGTGGGCAAAACAACCAAACAGTCCAGAGCCCTGTAACCACCTGGCTGGGTCAGGCAGTAGCAGTTGGGAAAACAATTCCCTAGACAGGCAAAGCAGGAAGCAGGCTGCAGCCCCTGGGCGGGGCAAAACAAGCAAACAGTCTAGAGCCCTGCAGCCTCCTGGCTGGGGCAGCCATGGCACTTGGGGAATTAGCCCCCTGAACAGGGCCAAACAGCCGACAGTCTATGGCCCCTGAGTGGGGCAAAACAAACACACATTCTGGCCAGTCCAGCTTTTGACAAAACATTCAAACTCCGCACTAATGCATCAGACACTGGTTTAGGCATGGTACAGATGCAGACAGTGGGAGGTAACAAAAGTAGCCCCTTGCTTTCTTAAGTGAGAAGCTGACACCCACTGAATAGAATTATTTTGGCATAGAAAAAAGCGTTATGCAATTGTATGGGCAGTCCACACTCAAGGGAGTGCTCTGCATACAAGCACCTGAGGAGTCAGGAATGCTGACCCTAAACCAATATTTTCACATTGCATGTCTCAACTCCAGATACCTAGCAGACCCAATCTCAATGCAAAGGGGAAGAAGCAAACAAAAGGAATGGAACAGAATTTGTCTGTGGTCCAAGCCAATCAACAGGCACACAAACCCCCCCCCCCTTTTTTTTTAACTACACTAAACAACTGACCTAAGCAATGATCAGCGAACTAATAAGAAAAATGGTGGCCAAGGAAGGGAGGAGCTTTGAAAAAGTCACACTGGCATCGGAATGGCTGAAAGTCCAACTGTAAAACATGGCAATGGAAATACCTGTCCTTGGCACCCATTGTGTTCATGTCTTCTGGCATCTGTATGAACAAACAGAAAGGATCATTTCCCAAGAGAATTGCCAAAGTATTTATTATATATCAATACCAAGCACTGTATGGAGGTGAAGGTGATATCTCATGTATCCCTATGGCTGTGTTAGCACTAGACAATGGATGATAAACTTAAGATCTACATTTAATGTCAGTTAATGGGAAGGAGACTATACTCTGCTTTGTTCCAGCAGGGCCAACAGAATAACTGCCATCTGAACAACAATCACTTCAGATGTTCATTACCTCTCTCATCCAACAGGATGGCACCACATCTGCAGGGAGAGGGAATGCTGGGCTATCCAAACATCATATTGTATTGAAGTAAGGCTAAACGGAGCACGTCCAGGTTGTAATGCACGAATATACACATGGCAAATTTTGCTCTCAGTTACACTGGAGTAAAGCCAGAGCAACTCCATAGGCTTTGAATGAGTAGCTGCAGATTTACACCTATATAAATGAGTACAGACTTTGGTTTACAGTGTTTTCAATCTGCTATAGAGGTAGTTCCAGATATGGCACTTCCCTCTTGTACTACACTTCTCAGATCCCTTAGTAGAAACTTGGACATGTCTATGTTTGTTTTCCCTGAACTCAGGCACCCATTACCTTTTTCACCACGGTATCGTTGAAGGAGTACCAGCACTCATTTTCATATGATTTTATTTCAGCCACATAATGGCCACCATCAATTCCTCCAGAATGGTGACACACTGCAAAGAGCTCATACTGTAGGATTGGGAAGAAAATCATGATGAAATTCAGATCAGCAATCTTTTCAGTTGCACTGCAAACAGACTTTCAGAGGGGTGCATATAGAGCTAATTGCAACCTTACTTTTAGTCAGGAAGCATTTCTGTCACTTCACCTATAAGCATTTCCTAGGCCTCTGAGCTGAACTCTTCAATGGAGAATAAATTTCAGACAGTATGGAAATAAAATTTTGATTTCTTTACAAAAAGCAAAAGATTTGACTATATTGGTGAAACCGTAGTAACAATGTAAAGACTGACATCTGACTGTGTGCAAATATGACCGCATAAACGTTCACAGTATAAACAACTATTTTATATTTATTATAAACAAATGTATTAAATCTGTGCCATACATTAAATGACTTTTGTAAAAAATAAACCAATGGTCTGATTGGACACCCAAGGTGATGATACTGCTCCTTTCTAACAGGAAAACTGGCAACTTCCGAGCTCAGAGGACAGCTTACTCTTTGGATTCATTTAACAGTGTCTTTCTTGCCTGTGCATTTAGCCAATCTGGAATAATGTGACAATCTGGAATCCCTGCAACAAACCCCATTGCAAATTCAGTCCGCATATCTACTCAAGGGACACCATCATAAGACCTAAGCACATCAGCCACACTATCAGTTCACCTGCACATCTAACAATGTGATATATGCCATCATGTGCCAGCAATGCCCCTCTGCCATGTACATTGGCCAAATCAGACAGTCTCTACGCAAAAGAATAAATGGACACAAATCAGACCTCAAGAATGGTAACATTCAAAACCCAGTCAGAGAGCACTTCAATCTCTCTGGACACTAAATAACAGACTTAAAAGTGGCCATAGTTCAGCAAAAAACTGAAAACAGACTTCAACGAGAAACGGCAGAGCTGGAATTAATTTGAAAACTTGAAACTATCAGACTGGGTCTGAATAGAGACTGGGAGTGGCTGGCGCACTACAAAACGTAATTTTCCCTCTTTTGGTATTCAAACCTTCTCATCAACTGTTGGGAGTGGGTCACATCCACCCTGATTGAATTGGCCTCATTAGCACTGGTCCTCAACTTGGTAAGATACCTCCCATCTTTTCATGTGTTAGTATATTTATACCTACCTACTGTAATTTCCACTCCTTGCATCTGACGAAGTGGATTATAGCCCACGAAAGCTTATGCCCTGTCAGGGTTCCCTCCCCACTCTGACCTCTGGGGTACAGATGTGGGGACCCGCATGAAAGACCCCCTAAGCTTATTTCTACCAGCTTAGGTTAAAAACTTCCCCAAGGCACAAATCCTTTCCTTGTCCTTGGACAGTATTGCTGCCACCACCAAATGATTTAGACAAAGATTCAGGAAAATGACCACTTGGAGTTCCTATTTCCCCATAATATCCTCCCAATCCCCTTCACCCCCTTTCCTGGGGAGGTTTGAGAATAATATACTAACCAACTGGTTACAAGGTGAGCACAGATCAACCCCCCTGGGTCTTTAGGACACTGAAAATCAATCAGGTTCTTAAAAGAAGAAGTTTATTTAAAAAAAAATAAAAGAATCACACCTGTAAAATCAGGATCAAAGGTAACTTTACAGGGCAAATAAAAAGATTTAAAACATAGAGGATTCCCTTCTTGGCTTAGCTGAAAAGTTACAAAAAACAGGAATAAAACTCCCTCTTAGCATAGGGAAAATTCACAAGCTAAAACAAAAGATAATATAATGCATTTCCTTGTTATTACTTACAATTTCTCTAATTTTAGATGCATCATTTCAGTAGGAGCTGGTTACTTGCTTGGTCTCTCTCTTTGTCCCCAGAGGGAACAATACAAAGAGCACAAACAAAACCTTCCCTCCCCCCCAGATTTGAAAGTATCTTCTTTCTCCATTGGTCCTTCTGGTCAGGTGCCAACTAGGTTAATTGAACTGATGAACCCCTTACAGGTAAGTGATTCTGTACCTCTGGCCAGGAGGGATTTTATATTACTGCATTCATGCAGGTTGTTACCCTTCCCTTTATATTTATGACATGCCCAAATAAATTTGTTAGTATCTAAGGTGCCACAGGACTCTGTTGTTTTTGCTGATACAGACTAACACAACTATCCTTCTGAATGTGACAACTGTTGTTTATAGATTGGTTTAACTACAGACTATCCTGTATACAATGAAGTGTTTGGATCAGGATTACATTCTCCAACTGAACCCTACATTATTGTATCTGAGGGACTGACAATGAAAAAGAGGTTACTTACCTTATAGTAACTGATGTTCTTCAAGCTGTGTTGTCTATATGTATTCCACTCTTAGTACTGCATGCCCCTCATGCCAGAGATCAGAATTTTTTCCCTTATTTGTCCTCACATGCTCCCTGAATGCCCTTGCACTCTCCCATTTCCGCTCTCTCAGGACACAAAGATGTGGGGCATATAGGGAGGACCTGACATCAATGCATAATTTCACCCACTCTACATGCAGAAGAAAACACTGTTTTCATAGAGAGAAGACTTAATGGGCGGGTAGCTAAAAACTCAAAACAGTGTTTTCATTAAACTTGACAACACAATATTCAGATCCCATGGAGCAGGTGGAAAACACTTAAAGTAGATGCCTAAGGAATCTTTTAGAAATAGGAGAAAATACATTAAACCAATCAAGCTTAGGATGAGAGGCAGAGATTGACGCTAGATACACTTTAATAGACCTAACTGATAACCCAGAGGATTTTAAGGATAAAATTTAATTAAAATGAAGGGAATGTCAGCCTGGAATGGGGACATAGAATGATCCTGGGACCAAGCATCAAATCTTTTCCAGTTATAGCTGTAAGTGGAAAGTTTTTTTTTTTTTAATCATTTGAGAAGAGGATCGCAGTTTCATTCAAGCAGCCATCATCGAGACTGTTAGATGTATGGAGGACAAGCCCAGATGAAGAATTGTCCTGCCGTTCTGCAATATCAAGTTGGGAATGAGAGGAAGTGTGATGGCTGGTCGTATCGACAGCCTGACTGGTTCTGGAAAGCAGTATTGTCCGTGCCATACTGGTGCAATGAAAATCATAGAAGCTGAGTTTTGTGTGAGCTTCATTAAAGTTCTTGGAATCAGTGGAATTGGTTGATAAGCATAATGAAGGCCTGTAGATCATGAATGCATCAGTTATAGAGCCTGGACTGACCCCTACCTTTTGTAGGCCTTGCTGGAGCCCTAGGCATCACTAACAGTGCGAAGCAAATGCTTTGAACCAGAGTAGGCCTGGCCTTGGCAAAATGAGAACACACCAGGTATTAGCTAATACCAGGTAAGCGCATTCCTGACCAGAGAGGATGGTACAAAAACCACACAGATCTCTCAAGTTATGACATAAACACATACTTAAGAGATGGTATGGGAAGACACCAAACCCAGGATAATGGATAAGGATGTTTTGTTCGAACCAGCAAGTATAAGGAAAAGGGTGGTAATTAACAATGTCTGGCGTATGATACTTAACTTGTTTGTATCAATGTATAAAAGGAGAAGTCATAGGAGTCATACTCGCCAAGGGGATAGCATGCTGAGCGGGTATCTGGTCATGGGCATCCATGTAGCTCCTATGGGGGGCTAGTACTGCACTTCGTCGACAATAAACCTGGCCAAGCACCTTTGCCACCGAAGCTAGCCTGAGGTCTTTCTTATGAATAAGATCGAGGTCTGCTGAATCGCTAAGCTGCGTTCTCTGCTAGTTCAGCTGGCATCGGAGCTCCCGGACAAGTGGCACTGGCAGCAGCAACAATGTAGCAGCCTTAACAACTCTCCTCGGCACCTATGACATCCTTGAGCAAAACCGCTGACACTTTTCACTGAGCTGTGGGTCAAGCAAATCCACACAATGGTGGCCCCATTTCTGTAATATGGCAAGAGTAACAGCTCTCTTCAGTGATCATTTGTGATCTGAGGCAAATCACTTGCTTAGCAGATCTGCACAAATGTTCAGCAGACTTGGTAGATTAACCTCGTTCAGGAAGGTGTGACAGTGTATACACCACTCCCAAAGAACTGAGCTTCTTCACATAAAGGTGCTGATCTAGTCCTCTCCCCCGCCTCTCCCGCACACGTCTGTATACATAAAACTTTCAAGACACAAGGTGAGTGAGGTAATGTATTTTATTGGACCAACTTCTCTTGGTGAGACAGACAAGCGTTTGAGCTTACAGGATGAGGAAAGGTACTCAGTGTCACAGCTAAATACAAGGAAGAACAGATAGTTTAGCATAAGGAATTAAAAACACCACAAACAAGAATTTAACTGTCATAGGCTTGGTGGGGGGAGGGGGGAATGGTTCTTCCTACTACAGCAGAATGGAACGCCAAATGATGCTGAGCAAACTTTTCCCTTTAGGTGGAGCAGGTAATTAAGAATAAATTGTATGTAAACCTGTAAATAAGAGGTACCTTTGTACTGGGACCACACAGAGAATCTTCTCCATTTCCTGAGGGCAGAACATCTGGTGGATGGCATCCTGCTATTTAAGAGAACATTCAAGGGAACAGCCTGAGAGAGTTAAACACTGAGCATCCAAACAGACAGATGTAGGCTAACAGACAGTGTTGAAATGCAGCATCTGGCTGTGGTCCTATGAAACTATGCTTGAGACCAGAGGGAGAGCCATGGGATCTTGAACTGAGAGAGTCAAAAAGTCCAAGAACAAATGCTGTTGGGGACAGGCTGGTGCTATCAAAGTTGGAATGATGTGATCCTGTCTGCATTTACACAAACTCTAGATACCATAGGGCTGGGGGAAAGGAGTATAGAGGTTTCCCTTTCTGGGACAGTAGGAGGGTATCTGGCAAAGACTCCAGTCCATGACCTGCTCTTGAGCTGTACAGGTAACCCTGTTCTGTCCGGTAGCAGGGTGGTCTATTTCTGGCATTCCCCAAGTCTGAAAAATGGACTTTGCTGTGTCTGCTTTGAGGGACCATTTGTGATTCCTGCTGAACATCTGCTAAGCTG